TTTTTTTTTTTTTTAACTCGAATACGACCAGAACTTTTTTGGCTCGGATTTCGAAAATATTTTAAAGGTTGCCTCTTATAGGGATAAGGATCACGTAGACACTTTATGAAAAATAAAAACGTAGTTATCTTCGATGAGGTGTTATTAAATGAAAAAGACTAGTAAAAAATATTTCCTTCAGTTTGCCGTTATTTATTTTTTCGAAAAATACAACTTACGTAATCATATGGTCACGCTGGGGTTATTCGAGTTAATAACGGTAAAACCCGTAACCGTAAAAATATTCATAGTTCGCTATGCAAGGCTTTTGAGTCGGCACTTCGTTTTCGTTTGCTTTTGCTATATATTCCGAAGGTTTTCGTGCTCAAATTTTCTTAGTTATATCTATGAAGGATTTTTATATACAAAATTTCGCGGCAACGAGATCTTTTTAGGGGACCCAGCAAAAATTTTGTTTTTCGTTACATAGAAATGAAAATATTTGCTATTTGTCGTGACAATTTTAATGATAGTCTGAATGTGAGACTTATACAAAATATAAACGTATTTATTGGCGCATTAAATAGTTTTCGCCAAAAAATAAAAACCAACAGAATCGGAGAAACATTAAAAAAATAAAAATAAGTAAAAGAAACTAGAACCATATAAACACACAAGGCCATAAACCAAAATGAATTGGATTGAAACAAACTGATAAGAAATTAAGAAGTAATTTTTATTCTAGTAAAATAGCAAAATACAATTTTCCATGTGCAAAGTTATCAAAACTACTGCGTGTATTTTTATTTTCAACATTGGGAAGAAGTCTAAACAAACTTGCACATGACTTTTAAAAAACTATAAATTTGCAAAAAAAAATTTAACTGCACAATAAAAAATTATTTTAATATGTATAATCAGTGATTAAAAACTACTAACTTTAACTTAACTTTAACTTTAAAATGATGTGATATTACTGAAATCAAATAAAATGCTAATGGAGATGCTAGACGTAAGTATATTACTATGCATGAAAATAAAAAAACAAAACATCACAAATGGCAGTAGAAAGTGCGCGAAATATGATGTGAATGAAACTACTTAATTAGATAACAGAAAAAGGCACGAAAACAATATTTAGTTTCAACAAAATCAAATTGTCATATACATACAGTGACGAACATAAGTATTGGCACTGTGAAGTTTTTGCAACATATGCAACGTTTCTTTTCTTCTTTTTTTTTGATAATTTTTTACAAAAATATAGTTCATTCTACACTAGGGTGGTCCAAAAACAGTAAAGTCGGAATTCTAATGCTCTCACCCCCTAGGATTGTTCTATATCGAAACAAGTGCACCCATAATCGTAGGTGGTGAGAGCATAAAAATTCCGACTTTACTGGTTCACACCNAGGGTGGTCCAAAAACAGTAAAGTCGGAATTCTAATGCTCTCACCCCCTAAGATTGTTCTATATCGAAACAAGTGCACCCATAATCGTAGGTGGTGAGAGCATAAAAATTCCGACTTTACTGGTTCACACCCATTTTCGGACCGCCCTATTCTACATCAAAAACCATGAAAATGGCATCTCTAATCTTTGTGAAAAACTCAGGAAAATTCAATAAATTCGCATACTAATTTGCAACTTTCTATTCAGATTTTTTAGAAAATTTTTAGTGTGCAGTTGCATAGCCCATTCAATATTAGTATAACAGAGTGCAAGTTTGAAGCTGCTAGTGGAAGGTGTTGCTCATTTTCTCCATACAAATAATAATTGTCGAACATACTTTGTATGGAAGGACCTGAGCGAAAAAAATTGCCGAAAATCAACGCGGTTTTCTAGTAACTTCAAACTTGCACTTTTTTAGTATGCAAATTTATTGAATTTTCCTGAGTTTTGCACAAAGTTTGGAGTTTTTTATGCTTTTTGGTTTAGGATAAACTATAGTTTTATAAAAAATTATCGAAAATAAATTAGAAAAAAAATGTTGCATATATTGCGAGAAATTTACTAACAATTCTTTTGTATGTCACTGTATGTATACAATTAACAAATATACATATGTGGGTGCATCATTGTAACATTATTGATTTATGTTTTAAACTGATCGCTCCATTTATATACTATTTACTTATCTTACTATTTAGTAAACGTAAAACTATTAAATATACATTTTAAAATGTATCAATTCTAACAGTATACGTATATTTAAGTATGTATTATGTATATCGACATACATACATATGCACAGCCCGCGACAAAAGATGGCACGACCAAGTCGTCTAGGGGGGCCGGTATGAAAACAGCAGCCTTAAGACGTTCCCCAACATATCCTTTAGCTGCAACCATAGCTTCTTCACAAAAAATAGCATCACAAAACCGTCACAAAAATCTAGAGGCAACTATAAACACCGGAAACGAGCCGAAACAAGTGGCAACTGGTGCAAGTGCTGGAGCCGTAAGAAAGGTACTTGTTAACAGAACTGAATAAATAACTGATTAGAAGTCCAACCCTAAAATACGAATGATCCACAATGGCAATGTTATTATGCACCCCGTGATCGCAAATCTCTTCCAGCCCCTGCAACGGGCACCAGTTTGCCGGCTGAAGGCGCAGTAGGATCTGTGATGACGGCAAATACACATCACTCACGTTTAAACGGAGAAGAGCCTCTCTCAACTCCACCCGCTTATTCCTTACGTACGCGCAAAATAGATCTTCGACCAACAAGTAAAGTCGTAATACCAGCTAAGCGGATTTAGTAAGTAGCACAGTGTCGGACCAAAAGTATTGGCACAGAGAATTTTTCACAATATATGCAAAGTTTTTTATTCTAATTTATTTTCGCTAATTTTTTATAAAAATATTGTTTATCCCAAACCAAAAAGCATACAAAAATTCTCTAAACTTTGTGCAAAACTCAGGAAAATTCAATAAATTAGCACACTAATGCAACTTTCTATTCAGATTTTTTAGAAAAATTCTTAGTATGCAGTTTTATAGTATAAAAGAGTGCAAGTTTGAAGTTTCTAAAAAATCGCGTTGATTTTCGGAAGGTGTTGCTCATTTTCTCCATACAAAAAATATTTGTCGGACTACTTTTTGTGGAAGAACCTGAGTAAAAAAAAACTTGCCAAAAATCAACGCGATTTTTTAACAACTTCAAACTTTCACTTTCTTAAACTAAAGTTAGATGAGCTATAAAACTGCAAACTCTAAAAAATCTGCATAGAAAATTGAATACATTGCGAAAAATTCTCTGTGCCAATACTTTTGTCCGGCCCTGTATTTTATTAATAGTGACTTTTTTTTGTAATTGTTATGTATGTAATTTCCTAAATAAATGTTTGAATTCACTTGTGTTCTAGCAATAAAAATTGTAAACCAAGAAATAAAAACAAAACAAAATTCAACAAACAAAAAAATTCAAACAAAAAAAAAAAATAGTCAAAACTGATCAAAATCTTGAGGTGCTTCGTTTTGTCGCGGGCTGTATGTATAGATATGAAAAACACATACGCAAGCTCGTATGATGTAACTTATTATTCTAAACTAAATAGACTTAACACATGCTCTGGCAATCACTTCAACATAATCGAAGTGATTTAATACCTTTTCTATAAGCAATTTGAAGTCAGACGCTCTTCCTCGCAATTTGTATTGTTTTCTATTAGCAGCGGTGTTGTGGTATATTTGCACAATTGTGCGAAACGCTCCATTACGCACGATGAAGAAAGACGTGCTTCAGCATCGTGATCCCAGCACTCCTCCATGGTGTCACAGAAGATGTTAAGACCCTGTAAAATAAAAATAAGCAAAATATGAGTGAAATTGTTTTAAATATTATTAATTGCTGCAATTTGAAGTAAATGGGAACATCTGTTCCACATAGGCGCTCAAATTGCCATAACTTCAAAATCTTCACAAAATCAATTGAACATTTAAATGGCATGCATATAGTACTACCTAGTTTCGAGTTTATTTTTAAAATAAGAAATGTACTTACTGCATGCGTACGCCATGTATTTAGTAAACGTGGTCGCAGTTTCTTTGTCACTACAGTATCTTGTATCTCATCCAATGTTGGACGTAACCCAAGCTAAATATAAACAGATTAAAATATTTAAAAACAAAAATGTAACACATAACAACAACCAAAAAGAACTCCGCTCAATTACCTCAGCTTCAAATGGCAACATGTAATCGCCAACAGGTCCCACAGCAGTGCATCGCGACACCATCTCCCACAAAACTAAACCGCACGCATACACATCGATACGCAAAAAGGCATCACGATTGAAATTAATAGCACCCTCAAGCACCTCCGGCGCCATGTAACGGCGTGTGCCTACTTGACCATGCGTTTCGCCGCATGGTTTCCCTATAGCCGAGAAATGGAAAAAATATGACAATAAAAGTTAAAAATTAAAAATGTCCATCTTCATGTACTTACCCGGCTGAAAGACCATAGCCAGCCCAAAGTCAGCAATGCATGCTGTTAAGTCACCTTTCAGCAACACATTGGTTGATTTGAAATCGCGGTGTGCTATGGATGGTTTTAGGCCGTCCGTCTTACTGGCCGGAATTTCCTCATGCAAGTGCATTAAACCTTGGGACATCGATTCGGCAATTTTGCACAGCTCCAGCCAAGATAACGTGTGCGATTTCAGGTAATTGCAGAGCGAACCATTCGGGTGGTAAACAGAGATAAGCCAATATTCGAGTTGTACTTTCTCCGTGTGCTTTTCGCAGCCAAGAAACTCTAAGATATTTGGATGTCGCATGCGTGGTAGCTGCAAGAATGTTGAGAAATTAGGGTTTTCCAAATATTTTTACATATGTAAGTTAAAGCAAGTTTAAATTCAGTATAGCTGAATTGGTAAAATAAAAATTACAAATTCTTTTACCTTATAAATATCGACTTCCGTATTCCAAGATTCCTTCTCTTGCATGCGAAATATTTTAACAGCCACGTCCTGACTATGCAACTTTCCTTGCCAAACATCACCAAAACGTCCGCTAGCCTTTAACTCCAGCAAATGTATTGGGCGATTGTTAAGCAGTGGTGAGGCATTTGTTGCTTCCGTTTCATTCTGAAAAAAATACAATAGATGGATGTTGCTCTTAAAACTAGCCCGAAGGAGATTGTATTATCAGATTTTTTGGAAATTGGCTCACCGTTGGTATTTCATTGAAATTAGTGGGTTTACGCTTGCGGTAGTAGCAAAAGGCAAATGGTGCCATCAACAGCGCCAAACAAACGAACACAACAGCACAGACAACTATGTAAATCACATTGGTGTTATCGGTTGTCTTTTCCTTTGGCACTGGATAGAGTAATAAGAACAAAGAATGTGTAAATTTATGGATTAAGTAATACATATTGTTAAAATAAATAAAGTAAATGCAATCGGTGTTCGTTTTAGTGTTGGATTTACTATTTACATAACTCATTTTATTTCGAAATTTAGATTTATGCAAAGATCGGTAGATTACTCACTAAATGCCTTATAGAACTAAAAAAGCATCTACATCAATAAATTAGTTTCACTGTTTATTAAAACCCAGTTTTGAAGAAATTCCCACCTTAAGAATTTTAGANTTTTAGTGTTGGATTTACTATTTACATAACTCATTTTATTTCGAAATTTAAATTTGTACAAAGGTCGGTAGATTACTCACTAAATGCCTTATAGAACTAAAAAAGCATCTACATCAATAAATTAGTTTCACTGTTTATTAAAACCCAGAATTTTGAAGAAATTCCCACCTTAAGAATTTTAGGTTTTATATTTCCGTACTACCCATGTTATTAAAGCTATTATACATACATTACGGTGTCGAGACTTAAAGCTGTCCAATTTTGTAAGAAAATATTTTCAATCCTCAGTTCACCACTTTTTTGTAAATCGTTTTACCAAAAAAATTCAAAGCGCGTGATAAAATTTTAAATATTTTTATTGGCGACGTCTTCAGGTGTCGAAGTCTAAATAGTAATTAATTCTTACGGCTAAATAGAATAGGCATATATATGCAGAAAATATAAAATATTTCCATGGAAATGTCCTGCTATTTGACTTTGAATAAATTGAAGGTGAAATGTCGAATGATTTTATGAAATAGCTACATAAATTGTACAATGATAAGTGCAAAGAGTATGATGGCGAAGATGTACTTGTACGTACAAACATATACATACATAGGCATATGCATGGTAAATATGCTGCAGCGACAAACAAAACGATGACGAATGTGCGAAAAGCATTGGGGATAGATACAAAAAAAGTGCGATGAGTGCGGTGTGAATGCAAATTCGATGATAGCGACGTCAACTGGAAATGCAGGTGCAGCGACGACGTATTAGTAAGGAGGGGCTTGAACATGTATTTTAATTATATTTTTTTCAATTAATTCATTTAATGTTTTTTAATGTAATGCATTTTACTTTTTTAGTTTTATTCATTTTATATTCTTCATTTAATTCATTTAATTTCTTATTTTTTATTTAGTTTTTCTAATTTTTTATATTTTGATGGCATTATTCTAAAAAAAGAAAATTCTTTATAAGGCTTTTAAAAATATTTTATTTTTTATTAATGTTATTACTTTTTAATATATATATAATAGAGATTATTTGCGGTTTGTTTTATTTTGTTATCTATCTAAGTTTATTAGTTTGTTTTGAATACTACTTTTTTATAAACATTTTTTTTTGTTTAAATTAAGCACTCTTTGGGCCAATTTCCGATAAAAAATTAAATGGCATTAAAGTTAATTATGAATTCGTACTTAAAATCAGGGCTGCATTTTCTATATTCAAATATCCTACATTGGGCATTTAAACACAGTTTGATCCGAATATAAATATTTTACAACTATTTTATTAACTTTCACTTGTTGTGTGTCCAGATACCATGCAGTGCTACAAAACCTTTGCTTTGCAAAGATCCTATAAAAGTCTAGACATCAACCTCGTCGACTGGTATCATATCAAGACTCTAGAGGTAGATGACGCCTCGCCGCAAGTAGCTATATATTGCGCCTAAAAATATGCACTACATACGCTACAGCGGAAATGAACGACACGCCATTTCTTTAAATGAAATTAATTGGTGCTCGTATGTATGTATGTGAGTGCACCAATCTAATAATATCGCTGAATTATTTTAATATCTATAGCAAAAGTTTATACAGACATGACTAAAAAGTAGAAAATAAATAAAATAAACAACTTTTTAATATACCACGCTTTTATAAATGGACTAAAAAGTAGAAAATAATATTTCTCAGTCCCATAGAATTTGCTTTGATAACTTTTGATTTTGAAATTTTAGCAAAAGTCATTATAAACAATTTATGAGAATGAAAATGAAATTTTGAACTTGCACTGTAGAAATTTTAAGTCTATGTTATGTGGTTTGACTATTGTCAATTAAATCTAATTCTTTGTATTTCATGCGCCCCACGTTTTTCGTTTTCAATCTCATAAATAGTTTATAATGATTTTTGCTAAAATTTCAAAATCAAAAGTTATCAAAAAAATTTCTATAGGACTGAGAAATATTATTTTCTACGTTTTAGTCTATTTATGAAAGCGTGATATATAAAATTTTTTATTTTTTTTCATCAATCGGTTCTTAAATTGCTCATCTGAAATTGGCCCTTATGCCTAGACTTGACTTCTGCTCTTAGCAACATTTTTCTACGTATTAATTTTGGTGATAACTATATGTTTTCATTTTCCTGACTGTACACCTTCACCTTGTAAGCAATGTTTTCAAAGTTGGTAGACGCAGAAAAATATATTAAATTTTACACTACTTAGCATAAGAAATTTCTGTGGGTACGTTTTTTATAAGGCCATCTTGTTCTAGAAGTTCATGGGGTTTATTAAAATTACTTGGCTGTTAACACTGTACCAGTTTCAAAACCAAAAACAACAACACGACGCTAAATTTAAATATTAACAACTGGTAGCATGTTCAATTTTTCTTTTCCTGTTCTCACTGCAGCTTTGATGCAAGTTTGAGGCGCTTATTTGAAGGTACTTATTTGATCCCTTTGTTCTTTGTTGTTACGAAAGGAAAAAAAATTGAGAACCGCAAATCTACATTTGCCTTAACCTGAAGAATTTCAAAGGAAAATAAAGAATAGGAAATTTTCAAGAAAAAGTTACAACCATAAGTCCCTGTCCAATTGAGTGATCGAAGGTTATAGTCTGAATTTATGGCTGAAAAGCATATCTTTACTTTTGAAAATTTAAAATTCGTATGGAAACTTAAGCCAATAAATCATAAAACTAGTGTATGCCTTTTAAAGATTTGCAATTTTAAAGCCTCTCAATTTCTTATACTCATATACATGCATATGTGCATATATATTTTATTATCTAATATGTCACAGCAACAATTAGAAGGCTAACGAAATTTCGCCAAGAGTGTTTCCTTCACATGAACACCACAGGTGAACAACTGCTCAAGTGGCCAAATGGAGAAGAGCGTATATGTACATACATATATGAATGTATGCATCTTGGTAATAGATACATATGTACATATATGTATATAAAAGTATGTACTGTATGTATGTATGTATGTGTGAACGAGTAGAGCCCAAAAAAATGCACAAAAATGAAAGTTCTCCCCTAATTTTAGAAACAACTTCTACATACACCACCTCTATATGCATGCACTTACAAGTCACACAAGCATACAAACGCGTGGCACCGTATACATTCAACATACAACAAGTAAAAATCGGCACGGAACACAGGAACGTGCTCCAAGTGAAAAGTGAACACAAAAAGACCCTACAACAAGGAAAACTAAAATACGGGACTCGCTCCCCTTTTCAAGCATTTTTAAATATTCGCAAAAAAAGAAACAAAAACCAAAAAATATATAAAGGAAAGAAACGAAAAAAAATAAAATAAAAACAAAAAAATCAAATACAACACAGTCAACGCAACAGCCATTAAAATACTACAGCACATGCATACAACGTGCAACTAACTGAACGTCAGTCACCCAAACAGTCGAGATGCAAGCAACTGGAAGCGAATTTTGCTGCTTACTGCTTGCTGCGGGATCCTTTCCTGAGCAGTTTTTTTGTTTTGTTTTGCAGTTCGTACGTTTGTTGTCGAGTTCGTTCACACAGCTAGCGCGCGCAAAACGCTTGGAGTTGGGGGTGGTGAACGTTGTTACAGCGGCGAACACCACATCAGCGCGCTGCCAATGTGGTACGACAATATTAGCTGCACCAGCGAACAACCAACACAGCAAGCGGGTGTGGTTGCAACCATGGATGCAATACATCTACATACATACATGTGTATGAATGTATGTATGTATGTATATATGAACATACAAGTATGTATGCGTATTCAGGTACCGAAATGCAAAGACCCCAAACGATACAAAGTAGCAAAGCAAAACAAAGTAAAAATTGGGGTAAATACTGTATAGCATTGCGCCACCACAGAAACTCAGAGCTAGCAAAGCGCGTGTTCCAACAAACTCACGTGACACGGCTATTGATGCCTATGTGCTGTTTGTTGTTATGTATGTATGTATGTACTTCCCCACAGCTTACTGCAACCCCAACTGCCAACAAATTTGAACACTTCAGCGGCTGTGCAACAGCATCAGAAACGTGCATATTTGTGTGTGTAAATGTGTATGGATGTAAGTGCATATATATATATTTATATATGTATAAGTGTATGAAGGTACGACAGCGTCAATCATCACTTGAGCTGATGACAACTTACTCTGGGAGACAGTGTGATGAGTTAGCGCAAAAGTTTAATAATTGAAAAAATTAATTGGTTAACAGGATAACCGAAAAAAATTTGATCATTTTATATTCTCATGAGCAATTTCTTTGTAACAAAAAAGTTAATTATTTATTTTATGCTTATTCTTGGGGCAAATTCTGGTTCTATGAAATGGTGAAGTGGAAATGAAAAATTTTAATTTAGTGCACATTTTTTTCACTTCATCACTTTGTTTTACCATTTTAGGCGATTCTCCATCATTAAAGGCTTTTCCATAAACATCTAGCAAGTAATTATTTGGTAAATTTGCTTGAGTAAGAGATGATGATAATTCTAAATCCAATGTTTTTGGGTAAAATGCCCATCTTTGTGAAGTGATGTAAAATGTTTTCCGCCGACTTCACAAAAAGGAGAAGGTTATCAATAATACCTTTCCTTTAAATTATAGAAATCGGTTAACGTGGTCCAAAGTTATGCGGTAACATACATACAGAGCAAAAAATATATATTCCGAAGAATTGATGACCGTCTCCTTTTTGTGAAGTCGGTTAAAAAACAATGTGCTAATTTCATACAACGTTTGTAAGGAAGATTTTCTGAATTTGCAGAGGTTGCGGGTCTTATCGCAAGTGTCGGTAAACGATTTTGGTCCGATCCAGGCCACTTTGAAAAGAGTACCGTGGGTCCCTCGGGTCCCGATATTCCGCGCCTATCTCTAATAAGTACTACTATTTGTACATATGTATAATAATATAATAGGTTGGCGCTTACACATATGTTAGTGTTTGGCCAAGCTTCTCCTGCGATTTGTGGCGTGCGCCTTGATGTTGTCACACAAAGCGGAGGGACCTACGGTTTTACGCCGACTCCGAACGGCGATTGTATTTTTATGAGAAGCTGTTGTTCATAGCAGAAATACACTCGGAGGCTTGCCATTGCCTGCCGAGGGACGACCGCTGTTAAGAAAAAACCTTGTACACATGTATATATGTAGGAAAATACGTTTGCTAAAAAAATTGTTTAAATTATTTTTAGACCTTTCCAAGTGTTCTCCAAGTACATTTTTGAGTCGTAAGACGCTGAAATTACTAACTGTTCTTAGGACTCACACGTTTTCAATTGCCAGCCATATGGCGAAAAAATTTTTTTAAGTCAGGTTCACATTTATTCTTAAATGTTTGCTTAAAAAATATTAATTTCGAAGCCTCTATCTTTAAAAGTATGGCCATAGCTGAGTGTTTGGAGGTGTGTACTCCGCACTACGGTCCCTGAGCGGAAAAAAATCACAAAGATGAAAACTTAAAAAGTATTTTATTATCATATTTTGTCTAAATTGACTAATGCATGGGAGCCATGAAAAGCTGAATTTAATTTCTTTGTATGCTATAAACTCTTCAAGAAAAACCGGGGAAATCGGTATATTGTTAGTAATGGATTTTTTTGAATAATTTTAATGACTGTTTGAATTGTAGGTTCTTACGCTGTGTAAATAATTTAGAATTTTTATATTACATATAGATATGGCTTTATACAAAATATAAAAAATAGTTCCTGTGGTTACCGCATTCCTTATGTCACATGGAAAAAGTAAAACAAAAGAAAAGTTAAGGGACCGAAAAGGGTTAAAGGCCTACAAAAATGCTCAAAATTTCTCCAAACGGAGCACTATAAACTTTAGTATTGTATACACTCTTTACAACTAGGTAGATAGAAATAAAATCAGCTGCCTAAAGCTGCCTATTTGACTGCGTCAGGACTTTAAATGTTCCTACAAAAAACTTCTTGCAAGCAACATTTCCAAACTATTTGACTAGGATCAGTTTTCAGAGGTTTTCGATGACGTTAATTACAAATCCATAGTCAGATTAAAGAAATTCAAGATGGTGAGGAAAAATGCATATAGTCCGTTGGCGAGGTATTGAATTTTTTCCGATTTTCGTTGATATGGAACCACTGTTGCGCGGTGGGACTTCGAATCGATTCCGAATTCGAGCAACATCCAACATTCTAATAGCGTTCGCCCCTCGTAAAAGCTATGTACCGTTCGGAGTCGGTGTAAGACTATAGGACTCCCCATTTGTGCTAAGCCAAATACTTAACAAAAATGGGAATTCCAAATATTTATTAAATTATCACATAACAATAACATGAAAGTTCAACCTCATTTTTTTTTACTTTTAGTGTACATATTAATGACATACGTCATATGTAGTACCCTACACATTTCGACAACCTTTCTAAGGAAAATTAATTTTTAACAAGAGTTTAAAAAATTCACTCGGAGGTTTGCTTTCTAAATTAGAAACAAAACTTGTGATATCATTTTGGTATTTCTGGAAGCCAAATTAACAAAACAGGAAATATCTTCATTGTATTGCGTCCTTATTCGCTGCAGTAGATTTGTGATAAATATCTGCATATCTATGTAAATTTATTGGTGTTCTAGCAAACTAACTCAACTAAAAATATGTATGCTCAATTTTCTTTGGGCAAACATTTGCTTTGCACAACCATGCATACATTATTGTGTTACGACCTTTTTGTAGGTTTCAATATCCAATTTCTAAAATCGATTTTACACCATGAACTTGAAAACTAAACATTCCTTTGCGTCAGTATGTACATACACTGGTAATCAAAAGTGAGTGCTTGGTGTTTTTAGTTTAATATTTGCAATGTTTTTCAAGTTAAAATTTGTTTGTTTTTTTTTTATAAAAATATGGTTCAAGTTTAATTTAAAGCCACATAAGTCAAACTTTCAAACTTTATACAGAACTTAGAAAAATTCAACGAATTTTCGTCGAAGTTTTGACCTTTTTAATCTGAATTTTTAGAAAAATTTTGAGTATGCAGATAGATCGGTTTTTTAATTCTAGTAAAACAAGTGCAAGTTTTACGCCGCTAAAAATAGATTTTTAATGATTTTTTTTCGACGGATTTTGCGGTTTTATGCATATAACAAGTGCAATTTGTAAAATATTGCGTTCATTTTCTAATTTTTTTCGTTGTTTGCAAACGGTCATGCGCATATCATTCTACAAGAAATTCTCTTTTATATGGTAAAAAGTGCAAAATTCCGTCAGCAATAAAAAAAAATCATTAAAAAAACAACGCGATTTTTTAACCGCTTAAAACGCATGAACCATATTTTCAAAAAATAAAAAAATTTAACTTGAAAACATTGCAAATATTAACAAAAAACACCATGCAATCACTTTTGATTGTCAGTGCATGCTTCTTTTTTTATAGGTATTCACAACATTGCCCCTAGTAACCAACGTGTTACTGTCCCTATTAGCTTACCTTGGGTTGTTGCCTCAGTGGTGGTGGGTATCCACTTGTGTTCGGTGTTGCACATAGAACCCTTGCAACAGCAAAAGTATAATTTATTTTGGCGGAGTTCTGCGCTGCTAATACACTCCGTTTGGTTGCATTCATGCATATTTGTAAAGCAACCCTTCATTTTGATTTTTGTTTCACCTAAAAAATAAAATGAAAATCACTTTCATGTATCTTTCATTCTTTACATATTTCTGCAACATGTAACAGCATTGAAATGCATACCTGTGGCGCTATCCATTGACCAGAGCACATAACAGCTGGATGTTTTGTCCGACTCCACCTTGCAATGCTCAACTTTGATCGCGCAATCACCCTCATTGGTGCAGTTCTTTTCATCATAGTGTTCACAATCGATTCTGTGGCCATCTGGCAGTACGGCGCCATGTGTCCAAACCGACAAATCTGCAAGAGCAAATCAAAAGAAAATTAATAAATACATATGTGTACATACATACATACATACATATATATGTATAATAAATTACAAAATAATAAAACGTATCAAACGATAGTCAAAGGGGGGGCGTAAAAGAGATAAAATGGAAAGTAAACACGAAAAAAGCGTATAAGAATAAAAGCCAACATAAAAAGCGAAATTTGTGTAAATGGGTTTTATATGCAACAAAAACGACTTCAATAATAACAAACCTAGCTAAATGTTAGTATATACATGTCTATATGCAAAATGTATGTACTGCAATGCATAGCAGCAGTATTAACTACCGCATCAACAGTATTGGTGCCCTTTCATCTTCTATATAGAAAGTGGGTAGAGTTTCGTGTGGAATTTGGCGGCCAGTAAGCTAAGTGCATGCTTAGTTTCATTCAAACGCACATACATAAATACATAAGTATGAAGATATATACATATGTATGTACGTATATTGTAAAGTTGAGTTGTGTGCCGCAACTGCACAATTTTCACTTTGTAGCCATATCGTATGCCACACAGTGGCTATCGTGGTGCCACCCATTCTCCAAAGCTGATCTGTTGTTTCAGCGGGGCAAACCATCTATCCAAGCGCACATTTTCATTCATTTTTGCAGCAAAATGTCAATATGTATGCATACTAGCTACTTGTAAATGCGAATAGTGTGCGGGTAATTTGAGTCGAGCAAGGATTTCGCAGTGAGCTATGCTAAGGACAACTTCCCTGAAGAAAGTACTGTGATGTTATGTCATGGCAATATTTAATATGTGCATACATATTATGTATGCACGTTAGGGTGGTCCAAAAATGCATGAGTACGAGTGAAGTCGGAATTGTTATGCTCTCATCCCCTAATGTTGTGTTGTTGTTGCGGCTACGAAAACTCCGCCCAGATCGGTTAGTCCCTCAATTGGTGTCGTCAAGCTCTACTAGCGGTAGCCTCAGGAAGCTGCAGCCTCGATAGGATCTGTCCATAGGGACAGGGGCGTCAGTATAGTAGCGTTCAGTGGGCATGCAAAGAGACGCTGTGAGTCATGGGGCGTCTCTCCGCATGCGGGGCATTCGTTTAGAGCATCTTTGTGTATTCTGTTTTTTGATTTCAAATTGAAAAATAGGGGAAGCTATACTTTTTTCGACATAGACATTCGACATTTTGGACCACCCTATCGCTCATATGTACATNACAAAACCTTTCGTGAGTGAAGCAGTTGCTTTGTTATGGGAGTGAAGGAGAGGTACAGTGCTTAAAATGGGAGCTGATGGCTTGCAAGCGATTTATGTAGTGCTTGTGCAGCTGTTTAGTATATACTATGTGCGCATAGAAGTTTGTTTATGTAGCATGTGGGTGGTTCGATTTGTATTTACAGGAAAAGCTCTAAAGTGGAGGGAAAATAGAAGATGAGCAATGAGCTATAAATCTAAATACAAAGTTGTAGTAGATTTTGTGGGGCTTGGTGCCTAGTTTATAACAGAGGGGATTAGTTATAAAGTTTGGCAAATTCTTAATGACTTAATTTTGTTCCAGAAACGGTTTCACGGCTATTATAGTGCAAATAGCCTATTTTGGTTAACTCGGATAGGAAACTCACAAGTTTATCGTAGCAGAAGTGGAACAGAGGGTTTCTAAGAAGTCTATCTTTTTGATTTTCCAAAGCAATAGGCCTTCTGGTTTTAATTCATTACTTCTCAATAAGTATACGTCAGTGGTCACGGGAGATTGCATTGATTGATTAGTGGATTACATTCGTTTATAATAAAATTATAGTTTAAAAAACTAAAACCTCCCCATTATAATTGACATTCGTACTGTCATCAGGTATGTAATTGAGAATAGAAATCGCTGCATCTTTTAGGCGCATCAATATTACATAGTTACATCCCGAGCTAATAAAAGGAAGGTAAAAAAATCAAGCAGCTACATAAATTCAACGTATTATAAATAAACTGTGCATCTATACAAAGGCTATGAAATTATAAAAAGGGGCGATGTGGCGTATGAGTAACACAACATGGTATACATTTGGAAAAAATTTATGTTAAAAATTGATTAGCAACTCTTTTGTTGATAGTGGAATAGTAGTTATTCGATTTCGACTAAAGGACGCCATAAACGGACAACCAATTGAAACGATCGGTTGAAACTCATTTCGCCACAGACGTGTAGATTTGCAGACAATTTTTATTACATGTTATGTGCAGCCGATTAAACATGCAACGCTAAACGAACAGCTGCTCTATTAAATACTTTTCAAATATGTATTAAACTCTATTTAAACACTCTATTAGTTCCTTAATAAATATTTTGCTTAATCTTGCCATTTTTCCACAAAAGTGCACACTTCAAATTCTCAAAAGAAATGAAAAAGCGTCGAAAAAGGTCACAGCATGTATATGTTACCGAGTTTTATAGCCCGTTCTCGTTTTATGCTGTAAAACAAGAATAAAACAAATGTTTTCTCATAGAAATGATGCCCGAGAAGAACAAAAAAAAAAAACATCATGATTTCCCAATATCTGCTGTACCAAATACGACGATTTCGACTCACAACTTGTTGATAATGGCCCAGAAGTTAATTTAGGTAAGCCTTCTTAAGTGAAGCCATTCTAAAATGTCTACCCATGATGGGTTGAATTAGTGCTTTGAGATGCTTTGAGACAAACCTTAAATAAATACCTTAATTAAAGAAGCCCCTTTATAAGAACTCCTCCAAAAAACCTTATGAAATGCTTTTACATTAGAATTCTAATGCACTTATCATGTCTTTGGAGTTTTCTGATGAGCTTCCCTTAAGGCAAAATAATAGGATTTTCTATAATTTTCGTGATGGAGATTACAATGCCTTACTGCCTAACCAGTATGTAGCAAGATCTCTCAAAAGTTAAAATATTCTAAATGCTCTAAACTGCCCACAATATGTACCTGTGGTTATGGTGTATTAATTCTGATATAACTAGCGCAATAGCTTGTGGCTGTGGTACTACATTCTGGTTAACCAGTTGTCTGGCAATAAAGGACATACTCAATTCAAAATTTGTTAGTGCTTCCTATGAAATGTGTCTTCTTACTATGTCTGAGCTCCTATCCGAGCAACTGTGTGTTTTATCATCTAGGCCTCTTAAAAACCAGAAAGTAGAAGGAATAAATGCTACAAGCGCCATAAGGCAAACTTGCACAATACTTATCTCAAAGAGCAGTACCTTAATTTAGCGAAACAGTTTAATGTCTTGGATAAATTTCCGTATAACCAGTACATTAGGGGACTAGAATCTGAATTTAATGACAACCCAAAACCTTTTTGGAATTTCATACGCTCTAAGCTTAGTTGTAGAAGCATTCTGTCCTGGACGCACTTTGACGGTCAAAGTTCACAGTTTCTACCTGATACTGTGCTCTGTCTCGTCCACGTCAGGTGGGTCTGTTCCCAAAACGGCATTCACAGGTCGGGAGTCGGCGTAAGCCGATATTTATGGCGATTTCGTTTCTACAAAAAATGTTGCCTTCTCATCGTCTACTTCTTAGTGTTTGTGCGTAGAGGGCAAAGAGACGGTTGCATTTTTCGGTAGAAACGAAACTGGCATTAGTCAATCAGGGATTTTGTCAGATGTCGTTCTCATACATTATCTTCAAGACTAAATCTGACTATTTCGGAATATGTTAATCCTGGAGTACTAGAACAGACTACTTTATAAGAAGGAAAATAAATGGTAAAGTTTCAAAAGAAATTCGAAATTGATACATATCATATACATAGGTAGTTGATAAGAATTTAGCGATTAAGGAAGCAAAAACAAATCTATAAAATAATAATTGAAATAAATGGTAATTAGAATGCAAAAAGTGTCACTTACTTAGAAGCAGCACCAGGACCGCGAGCTGCACCGGCAATAGCTTAGAAATCAGTGGTGAACGCCACAACGAATTGATTTTATTCATTTTCAAATTTTTCAGAAGATTTTGTGTTAAAAAGGTAACGTAGCGTTTTTGGGTGTTTAGGCGACGAAGCAGCTGCATGGAAAGTTGTTGAGGACTGTGTTGGCAATAGTTCGGCATTGGCACAGATAATTCAATTTATGTATTTATGTATTAAGTAAAAATTTTCACCATCCATTCTTAACAAAAATCATTGTTATTGTACAGTTCAATATTTACATCTTATATAGTAATATCTAATATCGATATTACGCCCAGCGAGTCCTTTCAACGTCCTCTTTTATTTCACTTCAAACATTTCCAAACATTCTGTATTCATAATTTCATGGCTTATTTTTATCTATTTATTGTATCCAATGCTTGTTGCTTTTTTCGATGTGAAGAGGTTGCGATAGTGTATTCATAGACATTTTATTGCGGAAATATTTAAAAGAAGAAAATTTGTTAACACTTTTATGGACAAGAAGCGTTAATCGGTTTTATAATTACATATTAAACCAATTTTTTATCATAACTGCACATTTATACTCGCACTGCAATGACCTTTTCAAGACCACACGAATTTTTAGAAGCTTCTTCCGCAATAACTGCTGATATATTTGCACTACTACTTTTCACATTTCGTTAGCCATTTGTTTAAATAAATTCTTTCACTAGTTTCTACGACAATTTTTCACATTAAATAAAGTTTTTCCGCATTTTATTACTTAACGCGAATTCGTGCTGCATCTTTTCACTTGAAGGTAGTTTTTGCTGTCATTTTAGATTTTCTTTTCGTACTTTAACTGTTCCCAGTGGGCACACATGAATGCGCCACATTTAACGGCGTGAGTGGGAGTGAAATGGGTTGCACTAGGAATATGATTGACAGTCACCGTTTGTGGAATTGTAATGCGTTAGAAGAGAGTAGATAGTGTATGTTGTTTTTATTTATTCTTTTGGTTAGTACCAGTGTTCGGAGTCTCCTGCAATTGCAATAGATCGACTCGTTAGCAAACAAAATGATGATGGTTCAAGAAGGTGTACGCGCGAGGCGATTTTGTGTCCAACTTTTGGGTTTTTTTATTTGAATATATATTTATAGATTTACGTTCTTTGGTAGTGCCCAAAGACGAAAATGACGGATGTTAAGGTGCTACGAATGGAAGGTGGAGTCGGCGCGTTACCAAACCATCGTTTCACTATTCACCAATAGGTGGCGCAAAAAAGTGTAGACTAGTGCTGTACCGTTCATGCACAAATGTGCATCGGAAAAGTGCATAGAGTCACGAAATTTTAACGTCGCCATTTTTGCAGACTACAAGATCTCACAGGTGCGTGCTCCGAAATTTTTGATTTCCATCGTAAATTAACTAAATTTCACATAAATAAATGCATAATTTATAAAAAAAACTGTGTTATTTCAGAGTTTACTCAGAATTTTCTAACGACAACAATTAACTAAGAAGCAAGCAAAATGACTGGTCGTGGAAAGGGCGGAAAAGGCTTGGGTAAAGGGGGCGCTAAGCGCCATCGTAAGGTAATTGTTGCTTTATTAGGGACAATCGATTAATGTGTTGGGGGTGGCGGCAATTGTGAAATACTTTTGGGCAGCCATAAAAACTTAATACCACTAATATAATCGAATCCAAAGCGGGTATTTTACTTTCTATTATTTTTTATAGGTGCTTCGTGATAACATCCAAGGCATCACCAAGCCAGCCATTCGTCGTTTGGCACGTCGAGGAGGCGTAAAACGTATCTCTGGATTGATATACGAAGAAACGCGTGGTGTTTTGAAGGTAAAAAAGGAAAAAAAAATATTGAACTGTAATTCAGGACTAATACTAAGTATGTGTTCGTTGTAGGTGTTTTTGGAAAACGTTATTCGTGATGCTGTCACCTACACCGAACATGCCAAGCGTAAGACTGTCACCGCTATGGATGTTGTATATGCATTGAAACGTCAAGGACGCACCCTCTACGGTTTTGGCGGCTAAACTTTTTAATGCAGTTTAACCTGTATAACAAGATCCGAAAGGATCGCTAAGCAGAGAATATTAACATTACTACTTTTAATGAAAATGCTATGACGTGAAATACAATACAATCCATTTATTCCAATGCAGTATTTCAATCGAGCTAACATGTTTTGCATTACATTGTATATAGATACATAGGTGAGTATTACAGTAGCGTGTTGAATTGCAGTTAGCTATTTAGCTCATGAATTTAGTTCACTTGGATACTCTTAGCAATATATAGTAGAAGTTTAGCCAGGTGTCAGCTATCTTCATCTAATGTAATTGCTGACGCTTTGCTTACAATCATTTAAGCTTGTGGATACGATTTGAATCAAGCAGGAAAACTTACATTTTCCTTGGTGTTTATTTTTATTTCTACTTCGGGCTTCAGAAAGAAGTGGACATTTTTCTTCTTTGAATACCTTGATAATCCTAAGGGGTTTTTTTCTTATAAACTCAGTATCGATGAATAAACATGCATTACATCATCGAAATAATTTGCTTTGGACTTTTTATGAATGACTATTTATTTAAACATAATTTTATACAAAATATATACATACATGTATGCATAGAAGTGGAAAAGAGGATTACAAAAGAACTGCTTTGAGCAGGAAAAAGTATACGAAAATATATTTCGGACGCTACAGAGAATTTTATAGTGTAATTCTATAACATTTGATATACATAACTCTCTACTTCCTAACTAAAACTAGGAAGAATGTGTGAGAGAGGCCTATATATGCTCATTGCCGATAGTTTTAAATGAAAAAATACTAAATTCAACTAATAAAAGTAAATCAACTTCGACACAATTTTCTGGGCTTTCCTGCTTCCTTCCTTTCAACACACATGTGTCCTTAATAATCACACAATCCCAGAAAAAGCGACCGGGGTGACTTAAGGCCCATTGTCACCCCCTCACCCTGTCCTTTCTGCTGCGTTTGCTGTTGAGTTGCCAACGACTTGTTGCGTCGTATGAATACCTTCAAGGGCTGATAATCTGCCAAGCTATTGCGCAACGTATCGGAGTCGCTGGAACAGCCATCACTTGTTTGACTGCGCGATGTCGATATAGACAAATCGTCCATTTCGATTTTATTCCCAAAACTATTGCGGCTGCTGTTAGGAAGAGTGCAACCACCAACATTATTTATCGGCTTCTTGTCAATGCGAGCTGTTAGTTGTGTTGGCAATGGTGAAGAACCGCCTGGCATGGGTAACATCATAGGCGACATGTTGTTGGCAGCCGAATCACCGATATTTGTCTCGAATTGTACCGTGGTGAGTTGAAACTGTAATGAATATGAGACAATAAATTAATATGAAAAAATATTTTGTAATTGGTTATATACTACTTAAGAGTTTATGATTTTTTTTGCCTGTTTATTTTAAATTTTTATAATATTTTTTACCTTAAGTTGGGGCAAGGAAGTGTGCAATATGGAGCTAATTTTATGAACAGTTGGTAAATTTCAATTATGGCTAAAACTCACTTAAAAATTAAAACGCAAAAAATAATTTTGCAAGCCTTAAGCTGTGTATTGAAGAAATGTTCAGCTTTGGGTTATAATATCAACCTCATCCTTTTTTAACCGACTTCCAAAAAAGGAGGAGGTTATCAGTTCGTCGGAATCTTTTTTTTTTTTTTTCGATAATTCTTTTTGCAACGGAAAGGTAGTGTCTCAGAGGTGGTCCCAAACTAATTTGGTTTAGATCCGATCATTGGATCATGAAATATATAGATATATATAATTTTTTTTTTAAGTCGGTCTTTTTTTGCTAAAAATTACTTGTTATTTTCTCAAATAAATAAATTATTTTAATCTACAGCAGTTTTCAAGAAAATAGCAGCGCGACATTTTTTAAATATGTATTTGAAGAGCACAGATCTCATAATGACTAAACAATCAACATAGTGCGCATTTTTAAATAAGGATTATATTTTAATCTACATATCCTTAAAAACGGTATATTTAACATTTTTAATTTAGTTCAACTAATCAAAAACATGATTCCAATCCTATTAAAAAGTATTTCATTTGCCACATATTTTTATTTTATAACTCCCAGATTAAAATAGGCTGTTTAAATTATTAAAGTGTAATAAATATATAAAATAAATACAAAATCAACAAAAAGGTTATATTGCATAGTGCATAAATCTGTACAACATTATAACATGTATGTAGCTAAAATCTCATAGATTTTCCCCTGGAATTGACTACTTACGTCAGTCTCATTGGCGAACTCATGATCCGATTTAGATTCCTTCTTCTTGGAGGAATCTTTCGGTGATGGTTCCACATATTTCATTTCACTTTTCACCTTGCGAACTTTAAGCGGCTTTCGCGGAACCTCCTTCACGGTTAAGGTTGGCGATGGCATAGCCTGGTGCATTTTTGCATTTGTCTCGCGTTCACGTGTTACGTTATTCAGGCCAGAAGAGATACCACTGGCTGTCGACACACTAGTTCTTGCACATTCCCGCATGGACATTTGCGAATGTTGCAATGGCAATGAATTAATTTGTTTGGATCGACTGTTGTTGTTGCGCGGCGAATTGTTGCGACACACGCTACTGGCAAACTTCTGGAAGTCATTGCGCCTGTAAAAATAAATTATTTTTTATAATCTTATCTTTTTTTATTATAAAAAGGGGCGATGTGTTTGCTTTTTACTCTTTAATGATGGATTGTAAAGATTCATTCTTCACAACTACATATCCTTCTGGTATACGAGCATTTGCTTCATTCTCCATTTGATTTTCGTATGCAATTATTTGTTGATTGAGTTTTTCATTTAACTGTTCTGCCTTTTTCCGTAGCACGCGTTCGAATGCCAACTGCTCTTCTAACGTTTTAAGCTGTTCCTTGAGTTGTGTCAGGGTGACGCGATTCTTTTTTGGCTGTGCATTTGGTCCATGACCACCGGCACTGTGCTGCATTTGACCTTCGAGCATCTTTTGGTCCTCATCCTCCTTTCCGAGCTGTTCACGTATGCTACGTTGCAGAAACTTACTTATACCTGCATTTCCACGTACATTGAAATCAATTATGTAGTTGTTGACTTCAAGACAATCCAAGATCATGTTTGCTGCACGGTCAGTCAGACCACAATTCTCCATATCGATCACTGCAAAACGACGTATTATAAAGAACCACACTAGGCTTAAAAAAATGGAATATTCTTACCTTTTACCCATACATCCTCCTTTAATATTTCAACAATTGCTTTTACACCATCATCGCCGATCTGCGGATTACGCGCCAACGCGATCGAACGCAATCCAGGTATGGAATCCGGATCAACATCCCGATAGCGTAACGATTTTTTCCAGCCCTCCGTATAGCGACTTATCTTTTGTATCTGAGGAAGAGATTTACCAAATCATACTTCAGTACTTTCGTTGATAAGATTATTTCATTCATTTGAACACCTTAATCATAGCGGCTACGTGTTCAGCTCCTTTTGTTGATAACTCACATTCTGATAAATTTAATTTCTCAACATTTTCCAAATACTTAATTGTATTGCATATAGCCTCGCATCCTTTGTCATAAATATTCGAACGCTGAAAACTTATTTCCTTAAGGCTTTCATTTGAAGACAGTGCCTACGAAATAGTTTAAGAGAAAAAATTAAGTTAATTGGCATTTGAAACAGTAGAAGCGCTTGTAGACAATAAAGGATTTTCAACCCCAAAAGTTTTAAAGTAAATTTTTTTTTTTTGTGACTACATGTCCGCACATACCTTAGCAATGGATTCCACATATTTATCATTTAGTGGCAAGCCTTCTAGATTTAGAATCCTTAAATTCTTATTGAACTCAATACAATTTGAGACCGCCTCCACGATACCGGAAAAAACGAACTTTGTACAAACCACCGGCTTCTGTTTGAAAAGCCGTGCTTTCTTTTCGGTATCCAAATGCTCCAACACTGAACGTTTAAAAAAGCAGTTTAAAAATACATATGTACATAAAACACACAAATATGTATATCGTTAACATTCGCTAAGGGAATCTACTGCTCACCCATTCCCAAGGTTTTGCGCAATCGAATGCTAAGAGTTTGCAGTACTTGATCATAGTAAAGAGCTTCAATAATTAGTAACCAATCAGTAACCCCTAATTTTTCGCCGAAAAAATCTAACATGGATGTTGCATTATTTTTGGTACGAATATCTGACAAGGGAGTTAGATTCTTCGCACGACAGAGCTCTAAATACCGGAAATGAAAGGAACGACAGCGATTGAATTTCTTCGTTGATGTCAAACTGCACACATCACGCAATTCCAAATTCTTTTGCATTGTTCTAGTTTTACTTATTAATGTTGCTTGCTGTTGTTGTGTTTCGTTTAGCTATTGGATAAGGTTGTCGTTTTATTTTTTTTTTTGTTGTTTAGTCCGGGGTTACGAATTTTTATGGTGATTTTTGCTTACAAGTGAGTTTCGTGCGACGAACGGTTATTAGCAGGAGGGGAGGGAGGTAACAAGTTGACAGTTTTTATAAATGAAAAAAGGTAGAATTAAAAAAATCGAAATAATTTTGAAATTGTTGGCTTGATTGATAGAAAAATTGTGGTTTTTATGATTTTTATTTCTGTAAATTTTAAGTTTACTATTTTTGTTTATGTATATCTCAAAAGATGATATAGCTTTTCGAGAACTTGTCACTGCGCATAGTTAATCAATTTTTTGTACTACTTTTTAATCGCGTTTTACTTGTTTCACAGATTAAAGTATAAGCAGTGGAAATGATAGTTTATTCGCACTATAACACTTGGCGATTTGGATAGTACATAGTTACGGTGACCATTCGTACCAATTTTGGCGGGACAGACCGATTTTGAGAAAATTGTCCCGCTATAATAATATAATTTATGAAATTATGAAAAAATATACTAATACCCTTAAAAAAATTGTGGATATGAAAAACATCAGCTGTAGATAGAGTGGCAAAAATATAAATAGGGAATAGACATTTTAGCTTTCTTTAGCTATTCCCCTTTCGTTTATTTGATGCTTATTCCTTTTTATGAAAGTGTGGCCCGTTATCTTACAAAGACCATGTAAGTCAGAATTTTAAACTTTGTGCAAAAAATCGACAAAGTTTCATCAAAATTTTGAGCTTTTTAATTAGATTTCATAGAGACATTATGAGTATGCAAATTTTAAGTAGCTAGGACTTACCGTTTATATTTGGTAAATTTTGTGTTTTCTCATTTTTTCCATACAAAAAAAATTTTTCAACATACTGTGTATAGAAGAAAATGCGCGAACGAAAAATTGCCAAAAATCAACGGTAAGTCCAAGCTTCTTCCAACTTGCACTTTATTATACTAAAATTTTATGGGCTTCAAAACTGCAAAATCAAAACAATTCTAGAAAATCGAATTAAAATGTTTCAAATTGTGATGAACATATATTCAAATTTGTCGAATTTTTATAAATGTTCTACATATTTTGAAATTTTGATTTACACTTTTTTTTTAGATAGTAAGTTTTATTTTCGTAGAAAAATAATAAGCATTTTTAAATTTTTTTTTCTTTGTTCACACTCGATGCTTTGAAACGTGCAAGAAATAGTTCTGATACTAGTATGTCAATATTCTTATTAAGTCTCATCAAAAAATTCCTTCCCGTTTAAAAAATAAAAAAAAAATAAAGAGAATGCCGCATTATACTAAAGCCAGTTTGCCGACATAAGCTACTGTTCCATAAGAACACAGATATGTTTTTTGTTCTTACATACATTAAATAGTTTTAAAATTATATGCTAGGTTATTTGTGGTTGAAGAGGATCATATTTGATTCAAAAAAATTTATGTTTGACGCGTAAACGTGACTCCAAACTTGGAATAATTATTGTGCTTGTCACATAAATAAAAGCCCACTTTTCATATAACGGTAAATTTCAGATATGTATGCTTCAAAGTTCGATAATTCGAAGTTTAAGGACGCTAATTTACACAAAGTTGACACTAACAACAATTCCTTGAAAAGAAGTAACATTATTATGGAATTTTTGGAAAATGGTCGAGTTATATAACACACATAAAGGGCCTGTTCGAGGCATGCAATAAAAGCGGCAATACTGCAGCACTGATGAAAATTGGCAATACTCTTGCAACTTCCCAACTGATAAAACGTTGCTAGAAATTCATACCGAAAATGATACTTAAATAATTCGCGCAACACTGCGGTTGTGATTGCATCTCGAACAAGCCCATAACTATATAAGTTTATCGAAGATGTTTGAAATAGTGATTAGAAGATGTTTGAAATAGTGATTAGGTGAAATTTTGTAGTAAAATTTGTTTTACTTCCTCCAATTTGGTGATGTGGCAACCCTGCCCCTAGCGAAGGCAAACTCTTATTTAAATTGAAATGTGTATAGCTTTGGAAAAAAAATAAAATCTTCACTTTGAGAAAAATTAATATCGAGAAATAGAAAAATTTTTTGACATATCAACCGAAGATATTTGGAAATTCCAGCGTAAAAACGTTATTCATGCCGTGCGAACAAAAAAAAAAAAATGTTACTCAAGGAATGAAACAACTTTTATTAGAGTATCTAGCTTCAAATATCAGCTCGTATTCCACAGGGGATTTGTAAGATCTACTTCTCAACAAGATTTTTACTCATTCAAAACAGAATGATAATGTTTTGAAACTTAAATATACCAAATAAATAGATTGGCACTGCTGTTGTCACACAAAGGGGAGGGAACTGCAGTTTTACGAAGACTCCGAGCGGTTATTGTATTTTTATAAGAAGCATTTTCATGGCAGATATACGCTCGGAGGTTTGCTATTGCCTGCCGAGGGGCGACCGCTATTGGAAAAAGCGGTTTTATGTTTTTTTGTTTTTTAAACCGACTTCAAAAAAAGGAGGAGGTTATCAGTTCGTCGGAGTATTTATTTATTTTTTTGTATGTATGTTACCGCATAACTTTGGACCACGTTAACCGATTTCAATAATTCTTTTTTTTTTTTTTAAGAAAGTGGTCCCATACTAATTTGTTTTAGATCCGATCATTGCATCACTAAGAAATTAAAGATACTCCTAAATTTGTATATGAGAATTTACGTTGGTTTTGTTCTGCTTAAAAATTACTTGTTACTTTTTGATATCGGCAACTGGGCTTGGACCCAATCAATCTAAATTTAAATGTGTATTTAGCTCTTAATTTTTTTCACGAATGTAACGAGATTTGCAATGGAATTGCCCATATGTACATTGATATCAAAGAAATATTAGAAATTTGTTTCCAACCGTGAACATTTCTGCTGAGGTCGCTATTAAAAAGCTTTATTTATTTTCTAATCTGGTTCAGACTCTGGCTCTGATTCTGAATTCTCTAATCTAGCACACGAACAGAATGTGTTGGACGATGTAACAATAAAATTAACTACTGAAATGAATTTCTCGTGATCCATTGCTATGCAAATGAGATTTGAATTAAAAAAAAAAAAAAACGGGGAATGTTGACTGTTTTAGAAGGCTTATTTATAAAAAAATTTATTTGCAAATATCTCGCTTGGGAGATATGTTCAGGGAGTCATATTTAATCATTATTAGCTAAAACTGTTTGGGAGCATGAAAGTTGATGAAAATTTTTCGCACAGTGATATTGACAAGTTTTAACAAAAATATTTAGAAGGATTTTGAGTATGCAGTTTGGTATAATAAAGTGCAATTTTGAAGTAGCTAGGACTTACCGTTGATTTTTGGCATTTTATTTTTTTTTTTAGTTGATGGCGTTGGCGAGTGCCGTAGACGACGGAGCGATGAGCTGTATGAACTGTACAACGATATAAACACAGTGCGTCGAATAGACAAAAACCCCACAGCTCTGAAAGAGGGAGGCCCCCCCTGCGATGAAACGACCAAGTGGAGATGGACTTGGCCTCACTTGTCATTTCCCATTAGCGACAGTTGGCACTGCGCCAATTAAGAAGAAGACGATGTAAGAAGAAGAACAAGCAGAAATAACTATACTACAGACATGCTAAATATGCACCCTAATTATAACATTTACAAACCGGATTTTTACAAGTAGTAAGGCAATTAAACACTTTTACCGTTATAAAAAAAGTATTTTTAGTAATAAAGTAACTCACCATAAGACACTTCCAGCATTACCATCAAGTAGTCCTACTCATATTAACTGTTTACTGCTATACTAATTTACGAGCACCATCACCTTACCATAAGCTGATTTTTTTAAAGCTTTACCGTAAAAAATTTCTGTAAAAAAAATACCTGTCATAAACAAAATGTAACAACCTTACGGTAATATTCATATACATATGTACATTAGGGTGGTCCAATTTTTGTATTTTGATATTTCTTTGATATCTATACCAACTTTCAGTTTTCTGCTGCAACCAATACAGGGTGCTCAATGACCTTGAAATGCTCTACTGGATCGCTCTGAAACTGGCAAAAATATTGGGGATTTTTATAGAAAGCTACTGAAGCTTGTGATATTTTAATAGATAATTTAAATTTGAAATGTTCTTAGGTTACTTAACCAATTATTTGATTAATATATGTTCACAATACATCTAGAGTAAAATATGAGCATCCTCTAAAAGGATGCTTCGAAACGTGAGGTTTGGTACCAGCACCTCTTTAGGCAAGAGGAAAAATTTTGGAAGGTGCCCCAAATCCTATCTGGGAAAATTTTTCTTGGACCACTCTAATGTACATGCGTACATATATACTTACATACGTATGTATTATGTGGGGCTGGTGTGTGACAACTTGCCAATCACACGAACTCGACGGCCTATAGGACCAGTAATATGGGTATTGTATGTACAATATTTGGTTCAAGTACACATTCATGGAATTTATGGATACATACATACATACATACATACATATGTGCACGCATGCATCACTATATAAGTTTGCTGCAACTCCATGGAGTTTTTGATTGTGTAACTCTGGACTGGTATTGTTTTGGGAGAATATATAATAACGATGACCTTAGCTGGAACTTTATATGTAAACAAAATCCTACAAAAGCGTGTATGCATACATGTGTATATGTACATATGTATTTATATGGTCACCTAAAATGTGTATACATACATGTGTATATGTACATATGTAAATACAGAATTGTAATTGGGCTGCGAAGCAGAACACAACACTGGTAATTTATAAAATTTATATACATACATACATATAGTGGTGCTAATGGGAAAAGTTATAGACACATTTACTTAATGCTACGCACATTTAAGTAGTTAAATAGATACGTATTGCTCGCTTGTTGGCACATTGCAAGAAAAATCAAAAACATGGAAACCCTTACTTTAAGCTATTTAATCAGGAGACCTAAGAGTAGAAATGAGTGCAATGGGGTATAGTCGTTGTGCTAGGTATGCATTTACAGTTACATGGCTATACTCAATCCCGATTCTTGCGTCCTCGTTCGCGCACTCTGGGCAACGTGAACAACCCATGTGCGAGACGTGGTAACCAATCTGAGTAGAGCTTTGGGTCACGGCAGAAAGAGAGGAAGCTTCGGTGGAGCCACTCCGACTTATTCGGTCTACGGGTTCACTGAAGTCTGCAGCGTCTGTTCACCAGTATTTGCGGCTGCAAGCGGGTGTTTGTCTTGGAGTAAGCAGCTCGCTATATAAGCCTGTATTTGATTGCGAAACCTCCCCCGTCCCAGCAATAGGCTGTGCACTGGGTTTGGGACCCGCCACGTAAAAACCCCCCTTATGATCAAGACCACGGCAAACGTTTCAAGAACTACGATTTGAGGGCATGCACCTGGAACGTCCAGACCCTTAATGAGGACCTCTGCCCGGCTGGTTGATGTCCTCGTAAGAATAAAAGCAGACATCACCGCCATCCTAGAAATGCGTTGGACGGGGCAGGCAAGCAATGCCTGGAGCCTTGTAACGTTTCATACAGCTGCCATGTAAACGAGCGCAAATTCGATGTTGGATTTTTGGTGGGAGAAAGACTCCGTCGCCGAGTACTATTGTTGTTGTTGTAACAGCATACAAATTCCCCAAAGAGATTTTGGGGAGTGTTGCTAGAGTGGTGGCAGTCCTTGGCCAGATATATATCTATCTGGGTCGTTCCGGTTACGTAGACCCGACTGTCGGTGGACGAGCATGTAGCTATAATCCGCATCAAAGCGAGATTCTTCAACATCTCGCTCATCTCCGCCCATGCCCCGACGAAGGGAAGGATGAGCTATCCAAGGATCTCTTCTATGAGCGCTTGGAGCGCACGTACGAGCACTGCCGCCGCCACGATATCAAAATCGTGTTTGGCGGCTTCAATGCCAGGGTGAGCAATGAAGAGATCTTTGGAACCACCATCGGAAAATTGAGCCTTCACGACAAAACGTCCGACAACGGACTGAGGCTGATCGATTCCACCGGGGCCCGGAACATGGTAGTATGCAGTACTAGGTTCAATCATAAAAAGACGCAAGCTACGTGTCTGTGTCCGGATCGAAAAACGAGAAACCAAATCGATCATGTTGTGATAGAGGGAAGGCATGCTTCCAGTGTTTTGGACGTACGTACACTCCGAGGCCTAAACATCGACTCGGACCACTATCTTGTTACAGCAAAGCTACGCACCCGCCTCTGTACAGCAAATATGCAAGGAAAACTTAACGACGAAAAGCGGCAATCACAACAGTCAGCCAATGCTTTCGCTGCTCGACTCACACCTGCTCTTAGAGAGCACTCTTCAATAAACCGACATATGCGAACAATGGAACCACCTTTCCCGTTCATTAAGAACCGCCGCCGAAGAAGTAGTCGGATTTCAGCGAGCCCGAAAGAACAACTGGTGCGATGAGGAGTGGGAAAAAAGATGCCGCCTACAGAGTTACGCTGCGATAGGGCGCTACGCTCGGGACCACTATAGGGATCTGAAGAGGGAAGCGAGACGTATTTGCCGCAATAAAAAGGGAGAGGCCGAAAAGCGTGAGTGCGAAGAGCGTGAAATGCTGGCTGACAGGAAGAATGAAGAAGAAAATTTTACCAGAGGGTTAGGCGACTAACGGAAGGTTTCAAGACCAGAGCGTACTACTGTAAGAACAACAATTGCGACGTACTGAATGGTAGCAGCAGGGAAAGTTGTGGAGAAGAAGAACCCGAGGCCCCAGTCGATGATGACTGAGTCGATGTTCCTCCGCCTGACTATGATGATGTGATCTACGAATAGCAATAACGCGGCTGAAAAACAGCAAAACTGCTGGATGAACACATGGCCGACGACTGGAATTTAAGTGTGTTCTGCCCAATTCACAAGTAAGGCGACCCCGCCATTCGCGACAAGTACCGCGGGATCAGCCTTCTAAGCATAAGACTGAAGCCCACCGTCAATGAACTGATTGGGCATTATCAGTGTGGCTTTAGGCCTAAGAAATCTACCATAGACCAGGTAAAATCTTGGAAAAGACCCGTGAGAAAGGGAACGACACTCACCACCTATTTGTCGACTTTAAAGCAGCTTTCGACAGCACTAACAGGAGTTGCCTTAACGCCGCTGATACGGCTGTGTAAAATGACGTTGAGCAATACCACCAGCTCCGTCAGAATTAGGAAAGACCTCTCCGAGCCGTTCGCCACCAAACGGAGTTACATTCAGGGCGACTCCCTTTCATGTGACTTCTTTAATCTGACGTTGGAGAAGATAATATGAGCTGCAGAACTGAACCGCTCAGGAACAGAAGCATGGGCAATTACAAGATCCGATCAGGAGTATTCGAGAGAAAGATTTTGCAGAAGATTTACGGGCCTTTACGCGTTGGCAACGGTGAGTACCACAAACGATGGAACGATGAGCTGTATGAGCTTTAAAACGAATTAACATACAGCGGCTTCGCTGGCTTGGCCATGTGGTTCGAATGGACACCGACGCTCCAGCTCTGAAAGTATTCAACTCGCAACCCGCTGGTGGTAGCAGAGGAAGAGGGAGCCCCCCACTGAGATAAAAAAACCAGGCGGAGAAGGACTTGGCTTCACTTGGCATTTTCAATTGGCGCCCGTTGGCACAGAAGAAAACCACTGGCGTGCTTTTTTAAACTCGGCCAAAATCGCTTAGGCTTAGGAATCTTTGTTTGTAACGTATTCTCATACATACATATTTCCATTCCCTTTTGCGATACCTTGATCAATCAGTTGTGTCAGGGCTTAACAGGAGTTAAAATTTTCACACCAGAATATTTTCATTTTATCTGTACTTATTTTCCTCAATCTGGTTACACCTAACATACAGGTTGCATAATTTTTTTTTTAAATAGTAAAAACACTCATATTTCAAAATGGTTCTCTTTTTTATAAGACAATCGCATTTCTGGCTAATATATTTCGGCACGAATGGATAAGGATTGAGCCAAGAGCTTCTGTGAGCAAATCCAATTTTTTGCAGCAAATGTCAGTTACGCGGTTTTGCAGAATGACGATAGGCGGTTTTGTACTTAAAACGACGATGTGTAACATAAAAACATATGAACATATACAGATAAATATGTATATGCTGACGTTGCGTCACCTAAGAACGGGCAACCCCAAATACCCTTGTACGGTGCAGGTAAATACCGGCTTTTTATGTTGCCGGCGAACTTTGTTGTTACATTTATTGACAGGTAAATAAATAAAATACAAGCCTAACTTCACTTTAATAGCAAATTCGGCAACAACAATGAACAGAAGCATTGTGAAGCAGAGTGTAAATATATCTACATATCAACGCAAAGAGTGTACCCTCATATATGCGTACAATGTAGCTCTGGCAACGTTGTAATCACTCCACAATCATCAACTCGCTCAAAATTTTTCGGCCTTTGTGCGAGTCTTCACGCTTTATGCACTGGAGTGCCATATTGCACGCCACATTTTAGAGCGTTGTCAATAAGCACCACACCGCATTGGGCGATATTTTCACTGAGCTTTGCCGCTCTGCTCTTCCCAGGCAAGAAGTGGCAATAATAATACATACAGCGGAGTTGCTGAGCAATTTAGTCGGAGTAGCTGGAGTAAACCACAGACTGAGTATGTAAGTATGTAAGTATAGTTTCCGCTGCAGTCTTATTAGCAACGTTTTAAGCCCAGTTAGTAGTCTGCAGCAAATCCAAATTGATATTCAGTTGTCATAGTGTCGTCGAAGCATTCAAATGGTTCCTTAATCGTTCGCGGGCATTCGCAGCTTTTGAATATGAAAATTTTAAATTAAAAATAAATTAAAAGTGTATACACTTAAATAAATTGAGTTGCTTTTAATAGAGTTAAAACATTTTGGGACTCATTGAAAATACTTTTTTAATATTTGTATTGTGTAAAGATTAATTTGTGAATAAATGAAGTTAAAATTGAAAGCAAATATGCAATGAATAATTAAGTATGGAGTTTATAATATTTCTTTAGTAAAGTCCAGGGGATTAAAGAAAATCGTTGTTCAATTATGTAGATACATATGTACATTTTTACGTACATATATTTACCTTTTTAATGTCTGCAAGTAAGAACACTAAAATTAATACAAATTCGTTGTTTGGTGTTCGTATAAGCAACCGTAAAAAAATACATAATGATGGTACTTGGCTTGCCTACGAATCCATATGTCACGCTTCGTATAACAACACATTTTTGGGGTTCTTGACTTCTGCACACTAAATAATCTACGAATTGTGTCACCAAAATTAAAAACTAAAGTTGAACAAAAAAAGAACAAATATTAAAATAAAAAATAAAAAATTGTGAAAACACTCCAAGCAATACGCAGGTGAAAAAAATTATTGAAATAACTTCAGGAAAGGAACACCGTCTGCTCATCGTTTGCGTTACGAAAGGAAGAAAGAAAGTAAGTAAAAAACCTAAATGTTTTATTGTAAATCTCCTAAAGAGAAACAGATTTTTCTGATCGAAAAATATCGATTTTCAAGAATTCGATATAATTTTTACGTAAACGTATTTTTCCCATATAAAATACATGGGCTTTGAGACAGATCTAAATATCATTATTTTTGAACTAAAACATTTAGAAAAATCCTAGGGGGTGAGAGCTTAACATTTTAATACAAAATTTTATTTAAATAGTTTAACTGAAATAATTCAAAGATTTCCTTAGCAAAAGTTTATTGATTTTTGGAGAGCTTTAATTAGAGTGGTAGGCTATGCTTATATGATACTATAAGTACTTGAGGTCAATGCACTTTAGAACAAAAAATTTTCTCCTCGAGAACATCGATTCATTTGAATAATATTTTTTGTTTCTCGAAATTCCATTGAAAAATACTTTAGACTCAGGAGTATAAAAGGAATTGCTCTTTCTGCAAGGTTCTAATGTATAAAAATGCTGAATATATATATTCATACATACATGCAATCTGCACAATCTATTGACGTTTGAAAAAACAATATCATTTTAAAGCCAAGCCTCCGCAAGTCCGGGCAATGGGATAAATGGTGTTGCACATTTGCTTCTTTTATGTTATTTTCTGTTTCCTGTTACGCTTAGGCGGTTACAGCGCCAAAAAGAAGAAGAAGAAGTTACAGGAAGTCCAGATGATCCAGGAGGTCTCACTGGACGAAGTTTTGTTCCTGCCATGTCCTTATTCTCATTGTCTGGCTCTACAACCTGGCTGCGTCGGTTTGGGCCGACACTAAAAACCTTCGTCAATTGCCTCTCTGCTTTGCGAGATTTCGCCTGTTGTACATCCCTGTAGTATTTTTATGCGCTTAACTATGTCCATTTCGTTAAACAGCTCGTACATGTCGTCATTCCATCTTCTTCGGTACTCGTCGCCCACGCGAACTGAACCATACATACATATATCTTGCGTAGAATAATTCTCTCGAAAGTCCTCAAAGCTTTCTCATGTTTGTTCGTCAAGAAAGCTTTTCAATTGGCTAATGAGCCGAAAGTAGTACCTGTTGTCTGATATTGTTAGTGGTGTTTATGCTGGAGGACTTTATGTACCAGTCCTTCACTACTTTTGTCAAAAAGTCTCAGAAACTTTCTGACAGAGAACGAAACCGGAACAAAATCTTCTGTGAACGATTCGCGAAGAATGGAAGCGGTAACAAAATTTTTCTCATAGCGTTGCATTAGTTTGAATATTAAAATTAACCAAAAAACCAGTAAGAAAGTCTAAGTTCGGGTGGAGCCGAACATTAAATACCCGGCGCAAGTATTAAATATATGTTTTTTCACCTTTCCGAAACCTACCGCTAGATGGTAAGCCGGGGTGTATAAATTTTGAGTAAATTATCGTCCTTAAATTTCGAAATATTGAAGTTTCAAGTATTACTGAAATTTACCGTTAAATGAAAACCGGCTGTAATTTAAGTCCGATTTCAGTAATTTTCAAAGTTGTTCGTCTATGTGGCAAGCACAATAACCACACCGAGTTTGGTACAAATTGGTAGAACGGTTACCGAGATACATATATGTGATCATAAGTGGGCGGTGCCACGCCCATTTTCCAAAAATTTATAATATTCTTATTTTTCGTCTGAAAATTGTTGTAAATATAAATTTTGAGTGAATAATCGTCGGTAGTTACTAATATATCGCAGTTTTCGTATTTCCGAAAATTGCCGTTATATGGGATGCGGGCGTGGTTATTGTCCGATTTTTTTAATTTTCGGCCATTTAGTATGCTGTAGCAANTGGGCGTGGTTATTGTCCGATTTCGCCCATTTTCAATACCAACCTACCTTGGATTAAGGGAAACCTACATACCAAATTTCGTTGAGATATCTCAATATCGTGTACACGGACGGACGGACAGACGGACAGACGGACAGACGGACGGACTGACAGACATGGCATGGATTCGTTTTGGCTGTTACAAACAACCGTTATGTGAACAAAATTAATATACCCTTGTGCACAAGTGCGCTCGGGTATAACAACTGAGAGGTAATTATGCAAATTATGTCAACGAAAGACTTAGGAAACAAACTTCACTTGCACAGTGAACTAAAAATTGCTCCATAAATGCACAGTTCACCCCAATGATAACCGATCTGGAAGTGGAAAAGATCCAGCTTCCGTTAGAATTAGCAATCATGGTTCTCATTAAAACGATTTTTTCATCCCACGCAGACGCCCCTTTCACGATATGGTTCTGCATGTTGAGTTGAAGAGAAGCGAATAAACATAAAAACTAAACTAACTGATTGTCAATGCGCGGAAATAGATATGAGTTGGCTTGGATTGGCTTCTAAACGCGGGCATAAGCTAGTATGTCTATAGATTTATGTGTCGAAATACGCTTAATCGTTGAAAATCTATAATTTTCATTCGAAATTGTCCATGTAATTTTGATGTGTTCTTCGTGATGTTATTTTGTATTGTTTGGATTAGTGGAGTGGATCTAAAATCGTTATGTAGAGCACTAGCAGGCCAATATGCCTAGTAAGAAACACCTGTTGCAGGCTTTGTCGTAAAGAGGCTGAATCAGTGAAACACCTTATTACCACCTTTCCAACACTGGGTAATTGTACAGTCATATTTTTAAACGACTACACGCTCAGTGAATTCGATCCTATGCGCATTTCGCAGCATGGGATAATACAAATCCTAAGCGTATTAGGCCACAAAAGTTGAAATAAGAGGCACAATAGATCAAATCTAGCCGCGGTGTAACGTGCATCTAGGCCTACCCGTACACAAAAATTACCATTGGATTTAAGCAATATACATACTTATGTACATATTTATACATACGAGTAAGTTAAATGATGTGTCAAATACTGAATTTTTAACATTCGACGATAAAAGGTAAAAACGTAAAACATGAAGTAAAAAACCGATATGAGGGCGATGACACTTTCCGAAAAGCTATATTGTCCAATTTAGCGCTAAACATAGACAAAAAAAAAAACAAGCATAAACAACGCAAATCATTGGGGAAGTTAAACAAATTAGTAAATGACATAAGCTAAATGCTTGCATACGCACGTGTATAAAGTAATATATATACATATAGGCACAAGTTAAGTCTGGGGATTTATTACTAAAATCCGAAGTTACAAGCAAGTTTGGATGCATCAGTCGCTTAGCAATAAAGTTTGTTGATAAACAATCGAAATTCCTATACTAAGTGTTTACTTACATATGTACTCACATATGTACGTATTTACTGCATCATACGCTTGACTTGACATGCACCGACGGCACTTCCGGTCGTAGTACGCGCTATTTTATATATTTCACCCCAATTTAAACACTTTAAGCCACACAATCAGTCAATCATAAATAACTGCATATAAAATAGTCACTTTATTTACATACATATACATAAGTACATTTATGCATACATACATATGAATGTGCGTAAAAACATACCCTGTCGGGAAATTTGTAGTCAACTACTTAAATAGCTTACTTTTGGCTCACTTACTAAAGCTAACTTTAAATTGGTTTCAAAGTCATGTAGGGCTCAACCGTTGCTATTGAAAAGCACTCTGCAAGTCAACTTATAAAATAACCAGTTTGTAGTTAGCTGAAAATAAACTCACTTATTTTGCCAAATCAACATCTAAAGGTAGTCAGTTAAAATTAGCGTAAAGTAGTCGAGCCATAGCCACCCCCCAGCGCCAAAATTTTGAACTTAATGCATTTATAGTCAGTTGAGTTCCCTACAGTATACTTACATAGAGGCAAGTACTTACATACATATATGTATTTATTCATATGAAAATATCAGTTTATTCATACAGGTGTTTTCCAACTATGTAAGTTATACCCAGCGGCTCTTTTGTCATTGCGGCAATAGCGTTTCCGTAACCGCCAACAAAGCATCCTCAACGGCCAACAGTCAAGTTCAACGATGGCGCTGCCGCTGCCGCTGCCGCTTCAATGGCGTCTCGGTTTTTGTTATATTGAAGCTGTATTGTTGGCTCAGCGATTTTTTTATGTAGGTATGTGTTTTAAAATAACACCACTACCGACACTAGCAATAATAGCCACAAGAAAAAAAAAAACCAATAAAAGAAGAATAAATAATACTCGTTGCGCTGCTATGATTTTGACTCATACACCACCTCATCCTACAATCCAACATATCCAGTAGAAAGCACACAGCTTGAGGTAATAGGTTTTTAGTATGAAAATATAAGTACGGTGACGAGCATGTAAATAGGGAAAAGACATTTTAACAATGTTTTGTTTTTTTTTTGTTTAAACATTTTTTTTTTATAAAATATAGCTTATTATCTAAACAAAACCATTTAAGTCAAACTTTGTACAACATTTGTTAAAATTTTATGAGTCAGCAAAAACTGTTCATCAAAGTTGGAAATTTTTTAACAGATTTTTTATATTTTTTTTAGTATACAGTTTTGTAGCCCATTAGATTTTAGTATAACATAACAAAGTGCAAGTTTGAAGTAGAATTGTTCGAAAGAAAGTATGTTGGAAAATTTTTTTGTATGGAGAAAATGAGGAATACCTTCCACAAAATAAATTGCCAAAAACTAACGGTGATTTCTAGCTACTTAAAATTTGCAGTCTGTTATACTAAAATTGAATGAGGTGCAAAACTGCATACTCAGAATGTTTCAAAAGGATCTAATTAAAAAGCTCAAAATTTTGTTGAAACTTTAACGAATTTTGTTAATTTTTGTACAAAGTTTGAAATTTTAACATACATGGTTTGCGTTTGATAAGGAGCCACACAAAACGAAACTAGCGAAAGAAAGCTAAAATGTCTCTTCCCTAATTATATTTTCGTCACTATATATAGTGGTATGGATATTTGTAAATATTTACTTACGTACATGGTCTGAAATGTAGAACTTAGTTCTTTGCTGTTGAAGGTAAATAGATACATTTGTACCGATACACATATG